AAATGGCGTATGTATGACACGCCAATTCGTATTTCCATTTTTGGCGTGCTATCAACACGCATAATCGCTTTTCAGCGTGTTTATTAACGCCTTTGACTTAACGTTATATTACTGTATTATGTATATATAAATATATGACCTACCCCAACCCCGTCCCTAAACCTACCCGTCACTGGGGTTAATACCATTTATGAGTCTTCTCCTACCATCCTAGGAAAAGAAATATCGCTCCACAGATGTAGATATAGATTTTGCTTCGTTTCGCTCGGACATTTAACGGCGTACGCATACACGCGGAATTTTGACAAGCTTTCAAACTTCACCTCAATGGCAAAAACAAATAATATATTGGCAGTCAGACCTGTTATGGCTCATTAATACTCCTCCGTTTCTAAGAAAATACCTCTGAGTGAAAATGAGGACAACATCAGATTCCTTAGGGAGCCTTTAAGCCAGTTGGCACTCAGATTCCTGCATGGATCATTGCCTTCCTGATCATTGATCGATTGCTTTGTCTTTTAGCCCATGTGTTTGCAAAAAAGAATTTCACTAAGGCAGCTGAGAAGCCCAATCAATGGCTGGGCTAATGAGCTATTCACACCAGTGTCTGCACTCAAAGAGATGGGCAATAAAAGAGATCCCTCACATTTCTAGACATAAACAGGGTCACAGGTAGCGTCAGAAATTAAATTCTTTATTAAGGAATGATATTTGCCTCCATGGAATTGACTTTCAGGGGGAATTTTTACTTTTATGAGGGCAAATGATACATTTATGCCAAATACTTGCATAGAATTAATTAATCTAAACGTCACTATAATGTCTAAACACTTATAACCAGATAGGCCTGTGTATAATAATACATATATCACTGTCCAAAAATATCTAGATTATTTTTTTCACTTTTGTTCATTCCTGGTCCTAGCCAGCCATGTCCCTCTTCCAAGTTATGCCAGCTTCTTCTTCAATGTTAATTTATAACGTGCCATAAGCAACAAACACAAGTAAATGGAGACAGCCCAATTTAGCTCAATTCTGACTAGGATTACAAAATGGTAACTGCACATTAAGGGAGAATTTAGATGGGGCCGTTGTGATTTAAAAATGTGTATACAGCAAATATCCACAGCGTTCCATTTCTCAGACTGACCATACAGAGGGCAGCTTTTAAAGCAGCGTTGCCAGGCAACACCAATGAAAACAGCAAACAGTGTAAAACAAAATAGATTATTGCCTGCATGCTGCTGAACTTTTTGCCAGTTTGTTGCATGTGTCCCAACATAATTTTCAAAGAATTGACTCGTGAATCAAAGGCTTAAAAGGACACACCAAGGAGGTCAATAATACCTGGATAAAACTGTAATCTTTGCTCATGGGCAACTTTGTGAGCCAATCATTTGTGCTGCGAATTCCATGTGACTAATCACTTTAAAGCTGCAGGCATACTGAAAATGTTCTGACAACACTATGCTGATGGCACTACAAGAACACTGACCCACAGCACAGGCCCATGCGAGATTACTAGGGTTTTCTTTTCTCAGGAAAAAATGCTTTCCAATTAAACTGATTGATATGGGAGAAAACACATTGCATGCTGTAGTAAAGAAATTTAAACTATCAAATAACCAGTACAACGGAATCTCCCTTACAAACTGAACCAGTTTAAGAAATAATAGAATCTGTTATTCTCCAACTGGTTTGTTGACTTAAATTTTGTTCATTTAAATTAGGCTGAAGTAAAATATAATTATTTAAGAGAAAAACTTGATTAAAACAAATGTAAAAAAAGACAAAAGCACAAAACAAAAATATTAAAACAAACTAAAATCTGAAAAAGCTATTTCGAAATATTAATAAATGCTATTATAGTTTATAAATAGTACTTAACAATGGGTTAGCTACAACATTTGTTGGGATGAAAATGGTGGGAAAGCTTGTTGTGAAAAGTAAATATGTTGCTGAAATCTACTTTTCTACAGCCTCTCTCTCTCTCTCTCTCTCTCTCTCTCTCTCTCTCTCTCTCTCTCTCTCTCTCTCTCTCTCTCTCTCTCTCTCTCTCTCTCTCTCTACAAACACACACGCACACTCACAATTACGTAGAATGAGTGTCATTTACACAAACTGCCAACTTTTTGATTGTTTTATAGGTTTAAAGCAGCAAAGTACCCCCTGAGGAACACGTATCCCTGGTTGGGAATCACTCAATTACACTATAACCTTGTTATCAGAGATATAAAGAACAAATCAAGTGTTAAGAGTTTGTGATCCATAAAATTACTATTTTGGTTAAGATGAAATTCCTACAGTCCATGAAAACCACAATGCTGATGGTCATGATAAAGTTACATTGAAGTGTATACAGAAGCCGCAGCTGATGTTTGTAACCATTCCGAGTGACATTTTCGTATGTGAAAATGGTGAACATACAATACTTTTTTTTTTTTTTGCTTTAATACATTGCCTTTCATTTCCATCTTTAAAACTTGTGCATTGACACCTTGTGCATTCCATATAGTCCTGCTCCTTGTGGCACATTGGAATATTAGAAATGCCATATTCCCTCAGATCATTACACGCTTCCTTGAGAACTACAATAACAATTGCCTGCGCTGCAGAAAAAAAGTATTTGATGTTCATTATACTTTCTGTTGATTTCTCCCTTACTCTTTTTTTCCTCTCTCGCCTTTCAAGCTGCTTCCATCCCTCTCATATAAAAATGAATCTCCCAAATTACAGCGACACTGCAAAAATGTACTTCATATTGATAATAATTGCATTCAGCATTAATTATCTATTTATATTATTTTGCAATTGCGATGAGGCATGCTGGTTGTTAGCAGCTCTAACTTGTGACAGTCTGCGCCACTTGCTAATCTACGATTATGAAACGATCTGTCATTCTAATTGAGTTACTCTATAAGATACCTAAAAAATGATGCACTGCCAAATCTGGAATTCAATCTAATAAAAAGCTACCAAACAAATTCTCTTAAAACACCCATTCATAATCATCTGATCTTTAACAGCCCCATTAGATGAAAAAACCAATGGCTGCAAGATTCAAGACAGTCGTCTCAATTACACTGAGGGAGAGGCTTGTTGTCTTCTAGGCGCTTTACCTCTGGAAGAACATTGGTGATAATGAGACCTGTCCAGCTCCCTCTGAAGTCTTTCAGGCCATTAGTGAGATCCGAAGCAGGCCTGGTTCATGGATCCTGGTGTTTAAGCCAGCACCATCATTAATATCAGACCTGAGCTGACTGCTGTCTAGCCTTTGTGGGGGCATGTTAATATATGCCATTTCACAGCTAGCCACAGAGATGGTAGAAGAGTCTCCAACACAACCTTCAGCATGGGTTAACAGGATGGAAGTGAGACGTGCAGGGGCAACTGGAATGCGTGAGAGTGTATCCATGCAGCTAATGAGAGGAATCAATCAGGAACATGGCCGTCTCTAAAGCCAAAGCCTCTCGCTCTGTGGAGACACTGTCAGGAGCTGCTGTTCTTGAATCTGCCTCGTTCAAACTGACTGCTACAGTAACGTAAAGATATCGCCACAGGGTAATCTTTCAAAATGAGCACCAACCACATTATATCTCAACATCCGCCAACAGAAATACATCATATCGATGCACTCTCTGAAGCAATCTCTTACAGCTGAAGTTACAGCTTCACGTCTCATAAAACACCCTATTTTAAAAGAAGATGGCCTACTTTTTCTACTTTTCTACTCAGACATATTCTATGATGCTGATGCAATGACTAGCATCAGATCTATGACTTGCGACCAGAGTTCAAGCCACAGAGACACACCCGCTTTGAATACCATGATGCAGCAGCAAGCCTCAAGCCACTGGAGCACTGAAGGACTTCAAAACCAATCCCAGCGATCTGGAGTGATGTCACTAGACACTGTGCTTTCACAGCAGAACAAAGCCAGCGCCGTATTTATGTGGCTTTTTATGTGAGCCATGCAGAAAAATCGATGGCCTTGAGTGAAAATTAGCTCCGCCATCAAAACAGAATGCTGCCGACAATTGACAAAGTTCACGAAAGCGTATGAAGCCAACAAAAACATACCAAAATAGACAATGACAGAATATCAAATTGTTTTAAGTCAGATTTGAAAACAAATCAGTTTTGCACACGAGTGCTGACAGAAGTGAGCCAAAACACTCCTTAAGAATGCTCTTACGAAAGGCACTGCAGTGGTACTAAGGTGTAGTGATCAGACGGCATTACCATGGCACCTTGATATATCAATAACAAAGAGCAGAAATATTGTTGCATTACATAGAACTCCAAAATACTTCCAAGAACATGGTGTGACTATGGTTTAAAAAACATGGTACTATGTCAGAAAAAAAACATGGTAGCCTACCTTTACTTAACCCCACCCCCTTATATTAGCATCACTGTACCATTAAACCTTGTACAGGATGTTATTTACAGGATACTATCTGCAGGATACTTCATAGAATACCATGATACCACGGTGCTTGTAAAAACACGTGCCTGAAAGTGCATTGAAAAAACAACATCCTCCCTCGTCTCTTGTATGGTCTTCCTCAATCGAGAATTCACAAGAAGTCTCCCTTTTTAAGTGCATCTCTTGTAGCCAGCAGAAAACAAAATTAGCCTCTGTTAGACGGACATGTGAGACATTTTGGATTTGTATTTTGCATTTTGGATTCATCAATTCAGAACCCACTTCCAGGTGAGTCGGAAAAAAAGCAATGGAATTAGGAATGGAAACGGCAAACAATAGAGTTTGATCAGCTTCAATCATTTTCAGCCATTGCAGGCATTTTCATTTGCACTCTTCAGTTGACAGCATAAAATACCTTGTCTTGTTTTCTCTGCACCATGCGGCAGTAATAGCATCTTCATCACAATCTAAATGGCAGATGCAGGCATGATTGAGTGTGCTTCTCTGACAGTATTGTGTGTATGCATGCAACCTGATTCCTTCTGAATTCCCACTCATAGATCAAACATACCTTTTATTTGTATCATGATAAAGCAGTAAATCACATACATCTGCATACTGGCGACTCCACCCATGTATCCGCTCTCCATGATTCCCCCAATGCTGGTTTATGGGGTCAAACACACTCTAGGAGAGAGGGAAGAGAATGATAGATTACACAAATTAAACCTCCAGAGGATGATAAAGATGCAGACTTTCCACAGCACATTGTGAACTTTCTTACTTAATTGTGCTTCCTAGAAGCCAAACAAACTTGTGCATAAACCTACTACAGTGCTAACCTTAGACCCTCCGTGAGCCTGGGATAATCCTCCCAGTGCACCAAACATGAGGATTTTGAAAGAATATCAACCCTATCCTGCTGGAATGGCAGCTAATCAATCGAAATCTTATTTTGAACAAGCACTACATTATTTTTCTTCCCTAAGGGAATTATTTGTTGAGGCTAGCCGTTAGCAAAACAACCCGGTGCTGCTGCTGCTTTGTACCTAAATAGAATTGAACAAGGTAGTGAGGGTAATCAATTGAATTGAGCTATATTTCATGCAATATGTCATGCTAAATTAGCCCTGTAATCAATAGCCATGCTAGATAATTATACATCCCGGCATGGACCATGTAAGTAATTTAGCGATCCATTACTTAATTCAGTGCAAAAATAACTCAATATCTAGATGCTGGAGCATGCATCTTTTAGAGAATAGCCATATTTTTTGCACTAACCATGAAAACACTGAAAGGGATTGTTTAAAACCAACAGTAAAGGCTATGCTACTGTTAAATATCCATATCTACCACAAGTTTAGATGAATTCTGACCTCCACCAACGGCATATCACACCCTGAACAAGTCAAGCGACGATCCTCCATTTCGCTGTTGCTCGGTTGATTGACTAAAATGATGCACATCTCAGTGGGCCAATCGGACAGTGCCAGAACCAGGGCAGTCCAACACTGGCAGATGGACAAATGAGTGGTCAGGTGCCTTCACAAGGCTCTTTGAGTGATGATGATGATGAGCCTGTGTTTGGCAGGTCACTCGCACAGATGGTGAGAGCCTCGCCTTCCCGCTGCTTCCCAGCCGGCTTTACTTTTTCATTCGACGCCTGACATCAGTATCATGTCTAAGCGAATCGGCTGTTCATGTGGAAGAAGTCGTCAGAGTAGCTTAGAGAAACAACACTTGTACACACCTGCTCCCCAGAGTGAGCTAAGTTTAGGAGGGAACAGTGATGTAGCAACTTCATGCGAAAACACGACATATCTAACCAGCTTGCCACATGTCGCACAGCATGTCCTATACAAGAAACAGAATATTCATTTTAAAATTCACTTATTGACTACATGCTGGAAACAGTGATAGCATTAGCTTATACACACACATAAACTACCTCGCTTTTCCCTCCTTACTAAACTGGTGTTCAAGTCGACATGACTAAATGACATTATTCTCCGCTGAATAGATGCTCCATCTTGCTCGCATAATGACAGAGGAGCGAGGTCATTGTGCACATCTTTGGTATGCATCAAATACAGTTCGGTGGGAATGGAGCTGCCTATGACTGGAATAGCAAATGACCTTTGTTGTATTGATTCTGGCGTGGGCTACACAAGGCTGTCAGGCCATCTCAGAAGCGCTTGGGGCCCTTTAGGAGACCGAATGAACCCGTGAGCTGCTAACTGAACACTCTGCACCATGGAGTTTTGTTGGGAACACCTTTTAAATGTGCAATAAAGACTTTTATGCACATTTTTACTGCATCAATTAAGCTTACGGCCCCTGCGCAATGCTCTATATTGGCATGTTTAACAGAATTATAAATTTATCCTTTACTATGCAAATGTTGAACCTTCAGTTGATGGTCTCCAGGAAACAGATGCCATCAGTTATTCCACTACTTTTCAAAGTTTGGGAGAAAACTTTCATCTGTGTAATCAAAAGAGTAGAAATCAGTCTGTATTTTTTTAGTTATACTCATCTCTAAAACATCGCATTGCCTAGAAATGGCTCTTTTTGAGTGCTTTTAATAAAACATCTAAAAATATATATTTATACAATAATCACAAATGGTTGGAAAACAAAAATGGACACAAGCTCTACACTGTACACAAATTTCAACATAGATTCATTCTAGCTACACTAAATTAATTTAATTCATTGTTGCATTCAGAAATGTCAGAGTGCCCTGTCAGACCTTCTTCTATTGTCATTTTCTGTTCAGTATCTTTTATAAAGCAAAGCAAACCTTGCTAAACAAGTTAGATCTCATAAACATGTTTATAGCTAGTTAGCTACCAAATAACAACACATGTGGTATAATGGCACAGACATTTGAAGGTAACTATCGAGACTCTTGAGTACAATCAAATCAATGCTTTGACAAAAGATAACAAAAGTAGAGGTCCTAATTAAAACCGACGTGGAAGCAGTGCATGGAGAAGGTGACTTGTTTTGGTAGATCTCAAAATGCTCTTATAGACCACAGGCAGAAAAGAAATTACACAAACACATAGTGCCTAAGACACTATGGAAACTTCAGAACAAGGCTAATCACTTTGTTGTTTACTATACTTTACGACCACGCTCAGATCAAAAAGAATGGGAAACACTGAAAAAGCAGCAAATTAAACCTCCGTCTGAACAAAGCCGTCCGCTTTCGTGAATATATAATATTGATCTTTTGACCGACAGCGCAAAAGACTATAGCTCGAAGCTTCAAACACCACCTCCCCATTTTCAGTGCAGTCAAGATTTTTGATTTCACCACCAACAAATCCAATAAGGTTTCAACCTACTTATACATGAGCAGTCCTACAAATCAATGTGGTTTGGGATACAGCATGAGCGTGGTGAAACTCTACAAGGATCAATAGCACAATAACACACCTGGAAGGAGCCCAGGCGTGACACAAAAGCAACATCAGAACTGCAGCTTGTTTATGCCGTCCAAAGAGATATGCTGTCAAAAGCCTGTACGCGGGTTACAAAGGAAAACTGCTGAGAACAATGAGGAACAAACGGCACATGTGAAGGCAATGGTAAACACACGCTTCCACTTGAAAGACAGACAGTCCTGAGTGTAGCAGTTTATTTACATCCCAATAAACACAAAACACAAGAATTCAAGGTGGACTCTTCACAGATTGCATGCATGAATTATTTGCGCTTCATAAATTAAAGATTGTTGCTGCTCGTCTTGGCCGAGGCCCCAATCTTATTCAACAGAGAGGTGTTGAAGAAACAGCGGGTGTGGGTTGAGACATTGTTTGGGCGCACATGTGACGGGAAGCAGTACGTAAGCGCAAGTGAAATGGTTTAGTGAAATCACAAACGTGTCTCTACATGACCTAATAATTCAAAGAGAAATGCAATGGAAGTGTCCTTTGAAAAGTAGAAAGTTACCCATCTGAAATTCCTTTTCTTCTGCTGTCTGAGCGTAAAAGTTTGAGGAAAAAAAAAAATCACATATTTATGAATGCACATATATTTTTTTGGAGTGCACTGCATTAGGCATGGATCTCGCTTGTGTATGTTCATAATCTGCTTTGCTTCTGTACAAACTAGCTGTCTCAATGAAGCAAACCATATTGATCTTCCTGGTTTCTTTTCAATCCCTTGCTCCCATGAGCCTTCAAAAGAGTACACGATGTTCCATGCGGTGCTAATGAATGGGGCTACACCTGCGTGTTCCTCTGTCCCGTGTCTCTTCGTGACCAGCGTGTTCCTTCAGGCTTAGAACGTCTTGTTGTCTCGCGCTTATCTTCCCCAGGCACTCGCCGTCACGTGGGGACAAACCTTTCATCCGTCTTCTCGCTCTGGCAATGCGGCCATGCGCATAAACTACCAAGTCCTTGAGTTTCTGGCGGTCCTCTCCCTTATAATCATCTTGTTATCCTTTATCGTAACTTACAGGCGATACGGATGATGAAGTTTGGCCTTCGGAGATATCAAACACATAGTTACGTCAAACCGAGAGAGGTTTTCCTACTGTGAGCAGTAGCCAGATACAACTTTCATCATTTCTTTCTTGCAAGACTATGGTAATACGAAGGGAATCTGAATGGCTAAAGGAGCTGATCAAAGGCAAAACCCATCAGAAGCCATTTATTTCAGTGCACGAAAACTCATCATATTCACTGGACATTATTCAGAGGCAAAAGATCCATGTGTACCTACAGCGAGTCACGTCGTTCAACACCCTAAAGCAAAATGGCCACCACATACCAGCAAGGCCACGTGCCCAGTTTCATATCTCAGAATCAATCCGACAGGAATGTCTGAGCAACGCTGCTCTCGGTCGAAGTACAAGCACATCATCCAGGTCTGATTTGGCCCTCAGGCATTGCAAGACGATCTGCCTTCTACATCAGAGCGAACCGTATTTAGTTTTTCATCTGTTAATCTGTATGCAGAAACACGTGCTCAGCACACATTGCTTTTTATTCATTCGGTCAAGCTAAAAATCAAGCCAATTTTTCTTGTATTTAAACACGTGCATTTGTGTAGAAATTTCATTTCGAGCGGGTGTCAGAAGTCAACATTTAATCAGTATAAAAACTGGACAAAGTGCATTTATTAATATTCAAATTTGCTGTGCTGTTACCCCACTGATGGGGCTGGTAAACACACTGCCGTAATTGCACAGATCTGTCCTTCAAACATACTAACCATTATCCGGGCAAATCATGCATCCTTTTGTATACTCCTCGCCTGTCTGAAACACACAACACCACACACAATTCTAAGCAGAGAAATAAAGTAAGGAAATTGCTATTGATCCATATTCTCTGAAACACTGCCACATTACACTCATGATATGCAGCCTTCGGTCGTCAATAATGCATTCATGTGGGGATAAAAAATGTGGCTGTTAAAATTCAGCAGTGTGTTCAATGTATATGCATGAACGCTGAACCCTGTCGAGCAATTCAGCCTCTTAACAAAACTAATGTGAGACAGAAAAGACAGTGTGGAAGAAAGAGCCAAATCTGCATTATTATACACTGCCAGCAGCCACGACTGAGCTCTGTCTGGGTTATAAGCAGATCTCCCAGTCAATTATGGGTGATACAGAATGACAGAAGCACATTT